GTACTGCCATCTGCCCCTCTGAAAGAGAACTGATGTGAAAATAATGAGAGATATCTTCTGGTTACCAGTCACAAAATACCTACTCTCTGCTCCAGGGACAACAAGCGGAGAGAATACAAGATACATTCTGCAACAGCTGTCAAATCCAAAACATGCAGCAAAATGTCTTTATATAATAACTCATAAAAATATCAATATATTTTACGCATGGATATATTCCTTAGATGACAGGAGATTCTATACAAAACCCACAATCAAATCCAATCTCTCATCTAAAATTTAACCAACAAATTTACTAGCATTCTTCGGCATACAAAGAGAGGCCCTTAACCTAACTATGGCCCAATAAGATCGAAGAAATGCAAGACATTACAGCAAAATGAATTTGGCTTCCCAAGGAAAATATGACATAATTACACCAAAAAATCTATAAACAAACTATGATGTCATACTAATTTTTCTATACATTCCTTCACAGGCATTTGTGTTGAAACTTACATATGAGTAAACATTGTCCATCAAATCCTGGCATAAATAATGGTAGTGCAACAAAGAACAATCAATATCCTTGTATATTAATATCCCTTTATAATCTGCTTACATAATTTGCTCAGACTGTACCATAATCCATTTTCCTTAACAATCAATTTATATCACAAATATATATACGGAAAACCCCTCACTTTAAATGGATTCTTACCTCATTAAACTCTTCTTAATGAGTCTGGGGATACAGCTTTAGAATAAATGAACAGAAGGTGTTTTAAATAAAATTAGCTGGGTTTAAATAAAAACAGCTCATACTTAACAATACCCTACAGCTAGCAAAAATGAGCTAGCTTATGCACTAACCCCCTAGTGCGATTTCCTCTTCTTTCACAAAGGTTTGCTTTGGGAAGAACAACCTCACTGAACACTCATGCAAGAGAATGTTACTTTAATATAACAGACAGAAGCCAAATGTATCCATATGTGTAACACTGGCTATTAATGAGTGCATATCGTCCCTTGCTGTGCAACGGATAACTTCAGTAATCTTACTCTATGACTGAGGTCAGGTAATAAAATTTGGCTTCTTGCCCATGCTGCTATGTATTACATTTTTAACAAAAAAACAAAAAAACAAAAACCAAAAAAACCCACCACCAAACAAACAAACCACACATGGCCATAAAAATAAAATCTTCAATCTTAAAATGAATTGTGAGAGAGGCTGAATTCTGCATCGCTCTATCCTGACTTTGCTGCCAATGTTATTCAAAACTTTTATCTGTCAGAATTCACGGATGGGAGGAAGGCACAACACTTCCAATTTAGGAGCTGTCTGATGAATATTAGGGTATGTAGCCAAAAACTTGAAAGATAGTAACAGAAGCAGTTTTAAGTTTTTCTATTAGATATGAAAGGTCATTTCAGAACTATGCACTTTTTTTTAGATCATTATTTTGATCTCCAGCTATCCAGATCCCTTAACTACATTCTTCGTTCCCTCTGTCCCCAAGCAGCATCCTCAGATAAATACCCCAACTTGATCGGTTCCCTTCAGCCACCTGAAACACAAACATTACTCGTTTTTAAAGACGTGACAGGCAATATTCATATTAATAAATGCCTTTCATTTCCGTGCAGAAACTACACAGCATACTATTCTTACCCCCAAGCGTGCAACATTTCCCCACCAGAAAACAAGCAGAATTTTAATTTCGAAAAAAAAAAAAAAAAAACCCCAAACAAACAGACACCAAGAAAGAAAACGCCGCTAACTGCTAGCTGTAGGGCACCGATAAGTTGAGCTGTAAAAATACGTTGTTTATTCCGTTCTAAAGCTGTGCCCTCACTGCCCGCCCCTCTCCCCAGAGGTCACTGACAGATCACCAGCCCCGTTTTACCTTCTGCGAAGCGTATATGGCATTTGTTGCTTTTCTCTTGCACTTTTGGCAAGGACTTTCTTTACCACTTGCGTGTCAAATAAGCCGCTTTTAAACATTTGCGGCGCAAAGCCTTTGCCCCCCCCCCGCCC